AATGGCCTGAATTAGCACTTTCTGGCCCGTAGCCCTATATTCCATGTTTAGAGAGGATCCCCCCCCCTTCACCCGCAGGCACACCACCACCCCACACGCACACACCCCTCCCATCAACTATCCAATCCTTACACGGGGACAGCCTTGACGGGGGGTCAGGAGGGAAAATAGCCTCATATATATACGCCCAGACAGTGATTTCTTGCTCCGAGTCCCCTCCACTCTGTGCTGTACAGTCCTTGTGTTGTCATCCTTACCCCGGGAATTGTCGTACTTCTGACTATCTGCTGAAATGGCACCAAAGAAGGACCCTAAGGCTCCCGCCAAGAAGGCCGAGCCCGCCCCGGCCCCGGCTGCTGCACCCGAGCCCGCCCCTGCTCCCGCAGCAGCTCCCGCTGTCGACCTGTCCGCCGTCAAGGTAGAAAGCATGAGGTGGTCTGCGGGGGGGAGGGATGGAGATGGGAGGATGGCTGCACGGGAGCAGCTGGGATTCGACTTTTACGCACAGAGGTGCATGGCAGAAGTAGATCTTCTGCAAAATGGAAAGGGGGTGTTGATGGAGACCTGGGAAAAAAGTTTTTTTCCCCCTGATTTCTATTTTATGGATTTGAAGGAAGGATAATGAGAATATTCAGAGCTGCTGTGACTGCTTTGATTATAGGAGTGAAATTGAAGAGAGGACAGATACATCTTTATAATGCATGTATCTTATCCAAGATAAAAGATAGTGATGGAAGAGAAGGTCGACATCTTGTTTAATTCAGGGTCTTTGTGTTTAACGCACATCTATCTTCACTTTGACTTAACTGGCAAAGTCCATCACACTGGCACCTGTGTGTGGACGTTCATTTATGGTCAGTGAGTGAGAGCAGCTGCAGACTTTAAAGGACCACCCTCAGGGTTGTGCAGAAGTCTGAGGTGAAGGACTAGAACCATGGATAGCTCACCATGATCCATCAGACCACGCCCCCTGGTTCTCCTGATTGGAGCAGAGCGGTCACGGACTGTGTGACGATGCTGCCCCTCTGACACCATATGTGGACATGTTAATGTAGCTAAAGATGGATCTCTCCTGGCTCCGGAGCCAGAATGTGAAGTTAATTTTGGCAAAGAGACAAAAAATGTAATCGTAGTCCTGATTGTGTGGTCCAGATTAAGAGGGGAATAAAAATTGCCTGTTTGTGCTGATGGCTTTTGTAATAAGACATTGAGTGATTGTGTTTTTGGATATTCATGGCCTGTCAAAACTCCTGCATATGTATGTTCATAAACTAATATGGCTGCTTTGTATTGGCTTGTAGGTGGAATTCAGCGCAGACCAGATTGAAGGTAAGAAAACTTAATGTTACTCTCCAATCTACATTAGTATCATCTTTTTCTTGAGTATCCTATTAGCCCACAGTGTTGACAAATCAGAAAACGCATCCATATAATGAAGAAGTAAGATAGCAAATCAATGAAAATCTCATAAGGTCAAAGCCAGCCTGCAACAGACATCTTAAAGAGTCCGTTCATGGCTCGAAAAATCGTTTAATGTCTGTATTTATGAAAGAATCCATGCAAACATTAAGAGAACTTTAGAGAGTATTCAAAATATCATCAAAAACAAAACTGTAGTTTTTTTCAAAGCATCAAAAAGAGAGCAGGCCTTTTTAAAATGTAATTTTGGGGATAATTGCATAGCTTATATAAAAAAAAACTAAAGAATATACACTTAAAATACTTTCTAACTGTTGTCAGTGGAACATTTGCAAGTAACAGGTAATGCGGCAGGTAAATCAAAAAACATGCATTCACTTGTTTCATCTTCAAAAGAAACCACAATAAATCTCATGTTAAACATAGACTGGAGGCCACAGAGCCACATGAGTTAAGTGGAGGTCAGTGCGTCACAAACCCAATTCAACCAATCCCTGTGTCCTCATATTAACTCGCAGGTTGTTTATTGGCAGCTCTCTGGTGACATGAGACTCTGTCACCGGATCTGTGATATCAGAGCATTTGCCAAGAGGCTACAGTCTTTTTCTTACAACAGCCAAAAATATTCAGCAGCTCATTAGAGGGATCACAGAAGGATAAAGTGTAGAAGTACAGTGGTACGACTGTTCGGTGTTCAATAAACGATTGTGGACTCCAACACACCGGACCTGTTGTGTGTGGTGGCTGCGGGTTACACCGCAGTCAGCATTCCCCTCTTTTACTCAGCTCACCCAAAGAGGGCCTTGCCTGTAAAAGGAAGGGGCTCATATTCTCAGCTATGTTTATCAATTCCAAGGTGGTCTTTTAAAAGAGCCCGTAGCCCTGCTGAGAGAGAGAGAGAGAGAGGGAGAGAGAGAGACAGCTGAGATAGAAATAGTCTGAAGGTTAAGGCAACTTGGCATGAGTCAGTCTATTCAGTCCTTGATGCCACAGCCTAGAGAAATGTCTTGCCCTTGTTTGTAGAAGAGCCGCCTCCACCTGCTGGCAGGTTGACAACACAAATTCAAACTACTGACTTTAAAGACACGTACTTACTGGATATATAGAATGAAAGGAAACTGTTTGGCTCATTAAAATAAAAATAATTCAATCATTTGAAGCTGGGGATGTTATCTAAATATACAAATACCACCTTTTGTCCACTTTTAACACAAATATATGCAATATGCAGGAAGTTTACAGGAGATCTTCATCTACTGACCTCAACATATTATTAGATGGTACTGCAACATATTTTTGAATGAACTTATTTAATGATAGAATAGGACTCTGCAAGAATATACAAGAAATGACACAAAATGTAGTTTCAGACAGTTATACTTTAGCTCTTTGCTAACTCTAAGTTAATTTATAACAACTATAATGTAATAAAAATATTCATTATCACTAATCTGAGATAACACATCACAGTTGTGTTGTATTTATAACAGTGAGCAAATATAATACTGTATCAATTTAAGGCTTTTAGTCACTATAAACTTTAACATCTCTGACGCACACAAACAACATTGATTCGCTGAGATGTTAACGTCCTCTTTCCCCTCCGCCCCGCAGACTACAGGGAGGCCTTTGGTCTGTTCGACAGGGTGGGTGACAACAAGGTGGCTTACAACCAGATCGCCGACATCATGCGCGCTCTGGGACAGAACCCCACCAACAAGGAGGTGAACAAACTGCTGGGAAACCCCTCTGCTGATGGTGAGAGGAATCTTTCAGTACATGATTGAATTAGTGTGGTGATGTTTGGGTGTTTGGTACAATTCAAGACATTTCGATTTTTAAAATTTGATGCAAAAGCCTTCGGTTATTCAACTTTTTCTAAAAAATTACATTTGTCTGGGATTGAAATGCTTCTTACTGGACATGGAAGACACAGACCTACCGCTAGTCTTTGTGGAAGTTGTGAATTAACAAAATGAATCACGTTCAGTCACATTAGCAGTTTTTCTTTCAGTCTGTGCAATAAACAAACAGAGGTTGAAAACCCTGTTTGTGCTGCCAGTGGTTGAAGTTGTAACACTGCAGAGAGGTACAGCACTTGGCTCTCTGCACTGTGCAATGCAGCATCACTGTTGACTGTGGTGGTATGGGTAAAAATCACCACTTTTCCTACTGCTTTGTCATGCAACAAAATTTAAAGCTTTCAGCCTGTAGAGGTCAGTGCAACATTACTTTTACTTCCTCTTGAAACTGAATGTTTTCTTAGGGTCTGTAAATATGGGAAAAAACATAAATCTATAAATCTCTGCAACATGATGCTTATTCAATGCCGAAAGAACTAGTGCTGTGCGACATACTTCAGTCTGGCACAGCTGTGATTGTAGAAAGTGTGCAAAACACCACTTCAGATCATGTATGAAAAATAAAGCAATAAATAAGGAAAAGGTAAATATCAAAACATTTTGGCAAATAAAATGTAGGATGCTGAAGCTGTGGTTGAGAGGTGGAAAAACATGTACAAGTGCAAGGATTTTGTCCCCCTGGTGCAGCTGATTCAGTCCTTTTTTGTCTCCTGTCACGCAGACATGGTTAACAAGAGAGTAGAGTTCGAGGCTTTCCTGCCCATGCTCCAGACCATCATCAACAGCCCAAACAAGGCAGGATTTGAGGACTACGTTGAGGGTCTGCGCGTCTTCGACAAGGAGGGTAACGGAACAGTGATGGGTGCTGAGCTGCGTATTGTCCTGTCAACACTGGGTGAGTGAACCTCCAGGACCCTGCTGTGTTACTCTGTGTGTGTGTGTGTGTGTGTGTGTGTGTGTGTGTGTGTGTGTGTGTGTGTGTTTTACTTTTATTAACTGTGGTTGTCCTCTGTCTCCCCCTACAGGAGAGAAGATGACTGAGGCTGAGATCGATTCTCTCATGGCAGGACAGGAGGACGAGAACGGCTGTGTCAACTATGAGGGTGAGTTACGAACTACAACATTATAACAAAAACATATGAGCACATGATAATATAAATAGAACTGCAGAATAAAAAGTCTTAAATACTTAAACCAGAATGTTTCCATTCAACGTAGATTTTTGTGCATACTAATTGATTATGTAAAATAGGCCAATTATGTTTTATGGTGTTCTAGACAATACCGCAGCAGTTTCAGTTTCAGCAGTTTCGAGTCTAACTTTTCTATTTTTTTATTATTTACTTATTACTTCTCCTCACTCATTCATTTCCCTCCTCTCCTGTTCCGTCTGTGTGTCGCCCTGGTCTCCGTCCACAGCCTTTGTCAAGCACATCATGTCTGTGTAAGGACCCTGCCACTGCGGTGGGGACCATCGTATATGTGCAGACCCCATGGTGTCACGACATCCACTCACTGTTTCCGGTACAACCTGAGGAAGCAGGGGGAACAAAGGACTATGAGATGTCATTTCTTGAAACCTTTTGTTTTTGTTCTAAACTTTTTTTTTTCTCGTATGTCCAACTGGTGCTTTTTTTTTCTCTCTCATCCTCTTCCCTCTCGTGGGAACCGTTCCTACCAGATGTCCCTCACCATCTTCACCCAGGTTCTCTTGTCTCACTGGGGATTTTTTTTTTTTTTTTTGGGGGGAATCGTCACTGGTTTTTATTGTCCGGCTGGCGCTCGATCTGCCAGTGAAGTGACTGATTTGGCCCAGGACTGGCCACCATCGAAAATGAATCCACTCCTCATCCGACCCATCCCTAAGTCTTAACTTATTGTTTCCTCTGCCATTTCACAATAAATTTTCACAAACTCCCATTTCACTCAGAAATTTCTGACTGATTTCTTCACAAGATTAATTTGAGCATAAACACTTAGATAAGATGTTTTAGAAAACAAGGTTATTTTAGTTTTCATGCAGAATTAAATTAGAAGATTGATTCTACTCTCATGTCTAGAAATTAAATATGAAGATACAACTTGTAGTCAATTCCCTTCCTGCAAAATGTATCATTTTTATACTGTAGAATTTTATACAGGTTACAACAAAAGATGCTGGTAGAGGGATTTTGTAAACATTGGACATAGTGAAACCAGCTGTTTACACAATTTATGCTAAGCTAAGCTAACAGGCTTTTGGCTCTATGACCTTTAGAGTGAGTCAATCTTTTAATAAAAAAACAAACTCATACTCAATCATCTGAAAAAGAAAACAGAGCTCCAGCGTCAGTTTTTGTCCTTTTTATTGTCATTAATTATTGTAATTGGTGTCATATCAACAAGAGAAAAACTGCGTACATCTACTTGACCTTTTAAATACATTTACAGTTGCTGTATGGTGGAGCAGGAGGTGGGGAGGGGCCACACGGAGATGGGGGGATGCAGAAGAAACACAGAAGCAAACAAACAAGTCGCGGGTGAGGGCAGTAATTAGGCAGGAGGCAGGATATACCACAGATGGTGTCTGAAAGAGAAACTACATAACCCAAACAATTTTTTTTAAAACAGATGTAACTGAAGTTTCCTCTGTCATTTTATTTATTTTACCTCATCCAATGTTGTTTTAATTATTGATTTTTCAAAAAAAAAGCAGAAAAGAAAAGAAATCCAATTTCTTCTCCAACATATTGCCACTCAACATCCACATACGGTAGCATCCGTGGTAAAACAACGTGGGATCTGCACCGAATGCTCGAACGCGCGCACACACACACGCTCACATACACGCACGCACACACACACACGCTTATTACCTGCATCCGTAAAGACAACACACTTTTGCCATTTCCTTTTCCGGATGGTGGCATATAGACAAACTCTGGTGTGTAAAATCATTCCGACGTGTAAACACGATCCTATAATGTACTACTGAGCAGGTACGAGTGTATGATGCTCTTCAACAGGACTGAGACTCGTTCCTTAGCAACACCACATCAGCTGTCTGACACTGTCACCAAGCGTTACACTGTAAACAACTAATAACTACAAAACATGAACTTGTTTCAGTTTTATCCAATAACTGAGGAAATAACTTACTAAAATTCCTTCTTTTAAATTACAAAATAGCCTCTTTTAATATTTGAATCAATACATGCTTGTCATAACATAGACCTAGTTCTTGCAATTATGCAATTTTACAGGTATATTTTATAGCCATAGTGTCGCTTCCTTTTAAAATGTTTCATGGACATTTAGATGGCAAAGACTTGTATTTTTTATACATGTTTCTATATATATTTGTTGAATATATTATATATTGGATGACAAGAGTGACTCGCAGTAAGGATGCTTGGTTTGTTAGGGGGTTTTGGAGTCCATGCACAGTTACTGAGCAGGAACAACACGTGCTGCATGGTGTGCTGGCAAGGCTGTAGCTTCTTCAAAAATACTGATCCAGGACAGTTAAAGTCAATATCTGATCCTCAATCTAATCTAGGACCAGCGCTCAATCTGAACTATTCTATGCAACATCATCCAAAGAGTGGGAGGCCAACAAAATTAATCAGAAATAACACACATCTCTTTAAAGAGATGAAAAATAAAGAGGACCAAAGTACAGTAGCTCCTAATTTGTGTTTCTACTCAGAGTTGAGACATGGATATTGGAGGCGGAGATGTTCATGGTTTAGCTGAGGTTGGCCTCAGGGTGGCAGGAGTGGGCAGAAAAAGTTTCAGTGGATCATGGCGAGGACGTCCGGGGTCCAGTGTTCACAAACCCTGCTTCGCCAGAGCTGCGGTGACGTCCTCAGCGAGGGTCGCTAATTGTGGCGACTCCGTCATGTTGAGGCTGCCAGAGGAGGACAGCTGGCTGTCCCGGTGGCGCTGGGGGGACACCGAGCCGGACCGGCCCGGTGACTGGGTAATGATCTCGGCTCCGTGGTCGACCCGGGCCTTGGCCTGGTCGCGGAACGCCAGCCTGTGGCTCTCAATCTAATAAAAGTAGAAGGTGCGATGGGAGAAGTAGATAGAGGAGAAGAAATACACCATGTTCGTTATGTGTCCAATCAAAAATATTTGAATGCTTTTTTTTTTTTAGTTCACTTGAGATCAACATCTTCAGAAGTCCTCACTCAAAGGCTGTTGCTTAGTCCTGTGTTGACACCAGAGCATAACTGAACACTTGATGAACATACATTCATTTGGATGAACCTTTACATGACTTATTGATAGCAACTTGTACTATACCTTTATTTTCACCCTCGCTGGCTGATAAAGGAATACAACAAGTTTTTGAAAGATTGGACTGAACATTTTTTTATATGCAATACATATGTTTGTGATAATTATTATTTGAAACTTTACTCTAAGATTATGGCTATGCTATATACCATTAAAGAAATACTGTATTCATGGAAAAGGGATTTTTCTCTCCACATTCTTTTCACTTAACAAATTAATGCAAATGAAAATTCTGCGTGACTTGTAGATTAAATATAATTTACTATAAAAATGTGAGTGTTGTCATATACTGTCCATCTTTTTTGATTACTGAGACAATCTCTCAAAAACTTGTTTTCCTTTGAAGGTGGATTTAGGACATGGAGCTGACACTCACCGTGATGCTGCCTCCACCAGGCATGTGGTGAGCATTATCCAGGGAACCCACCTTGGCTTGGGCCTTGTCTTTAAAGTCCAACTTCACAGTCTCTATACGCACGTTACCGCCCCCTGGGAAGAAGTAGAGGAAGTGTAAGAAACATAGAGGAGTATCTCCTGGGATTCACATAGTGGTGACCACTGACTTAAAGAGAAACAAATCGTCTATTGTGGTTCAACAGTTTGCTTCTTAAGAGAGATTTCACAGGTAACTAAAAATACTGCACTGCAGTTTTATGCCTACGTCAGTGTAGTTTCTAACAACATAATTTTTTTTGCTGGATTCATATAAAGTATCAGTTCATCCTTGAAGTGAATATCTGTACCAAATTTAAAGAAAACAGCTGACAGCCAGCAGATGGCGTCACCGCAAAACCAACTGGGAGGGGAAAGTGGTCTTTCACACCTCACAGCAAAACAGCAAGTACTCCAGAAACTTGATAGATACTGTCATTCAGTTTCCCTGCTGGTGGTGTAGACAAACATTGTCAGTACTAAAATTGGTCTGTGGTGTTTTTATTCATCATTGGTCATCCCAATTAAAAATACAAAAAGTTTTCTGGGCTGATTCCCTCTGATGAATAAGGTCAACTGACTGGTTTGAATTTACCCCTGACTGAGTGCTAGTGTAAATCGGATGCTTGAGTAGGATCTCGTAGGTTACCAGGTCGATGATGGATGTTGTCAAGAGAGCCACACTTGGAGGTCACATGGCTCAAGTCAATCTTCTTATACTGTATCTGCACCTGAAAGAATAAAGGAAAAAACATGGAGCTTGCAGTTACAAAATGAGGCAAGGAGTCAAGTATCTCTATCTTACCTTTATGAATTACAGAGAAGAATATAGTGCATCTGATCTGCAGTTATCTTTTTATTTTCTTAGCTATCTACATTCTGACACAGTGATGTCCAATTGCACCTAATTATTTGAAAACACGAGTAAGACAGCACAAGAGCAGAAAACCAGTGACCATTACATGTCAGTCCTTGTGCTCTGCTGGGAGGAGACCTGCTGGTGTCTGTTCAATCAGCTCAACCAAGACTGAACACGAGCTATGTGAGTGTCGGGGACTGGACTTTGAGCTAAAATGTTTTGGCACTTTCAGAGGACCTGTCAGATATACTGTACACCACAACACTGATCAGTGTTTTTAGTTGAAAGTGGCCACAGGCGGAGAGTAGATATGTGCGGCTATGTGACCCACCCTGGGGATTTGAAGAGAAAACCACATGAGAGATACAAAAGGAGTGAATCGATGAGACAGCAAACAGAGCGGAGATATAAAGCTTGAAGCACAGCACGGACATGAGGAGGTACACCACAATCACTGAGTCACGCCTGTGGTCATCAATCACTTTGCCAAGTCACTGATTCAGCTGATAACTCCTTTTGTAAACAATGATTTGGTCTTCATTATTTTCAACAGGAAAAGTGAGAGGATGATGAACAACGCAGACCATGAACCAGCCACGACACCATGTGCACAGAGTACAGTCTGCACTGTAGCCTGTTCATCTACCCACTGTTTACACATGCACAACACTAGCAAAGACGTGACAGTGTGAGTGCACAGACAGAGATTCGATGCGGTTTGTGTCAGCATGGGTGAACATCGGGATGCTGCTTGGCTAACTTCTCCAGCAGTTATATCTTTATCTCTATTTTCATGGTTTATATTAAAAAAATACTATCTGGTATTAGTTGTGGTATTACAGGTTGATAGAAATTTGACTTGCCAACCATGTTTAAGTGCATGTTTCACAAATATAAAGTTTATTATGAATTATTAAAATGAGCTTCAACTTCAGTTGGTCCATTTGCACTGCATCCGAGAGGTAACTAGATCTACAGTTACCATTAGTGGTGTTGTGGTATCATATCCCCAATTGCTGTCATTTCATCTGATCTTATTAGGCTTGCATAACTGTGCTCTGACAATGTGCATTACACAAAGTAGACACACACTGTACCTGCTGCCTTTAGACATCTGTAATCTGAGTTCATCAGCTAAGAGGGAAGAGATTCATGCAGTGTGATCCCTTTTGAGGATGAGAGGTGTTGGCTAGAGTCTTGCTACCAATAACTGGAATAAATGTTTTTTCTCATCCGTGCATTTAGATCTATAAGCATTAAGACACACATCAACACTACTTTATGTGCAAAAAAGAATTGCACCGCTACAAAAAATGTTTAAGGCGGCTAGAGTCCTGAATGTTTTCAAGTGCTGGAGGAGACATTCAGCCTTTTGTTTTAAAACAAATCCTTGCAGGACACAAAGCACAACTGGAAAGCACTGTGTTAATGAAGAGCAACTAGGAAAAGAGCACTGATGCCTGAATACATGAGTGACTTTACAATAAACTGGGACATAGTAAAAGAGGTGGAAAAGAATAAAAGACAAAAAAACAATACAAGAACATACAGAAATAACAGAGACAATGGACTTGTGGCACAAGACTCACATTTCCACCTCCTGCTGAGTAGCCCCGCCTGTCCAAGGACCCACACCTAGACTGAACATGGCTATAGTCCAGCTTAACACTGGGGATGAGAACCTGCAGGGGTGGAGGTCAGGAATGAGGTGGGAAGAAGCGTGGGCGTTCTGGCATGGCATGACATTTCAAACATCTCTTAAACACAATTTCTCTCATCTGTCTCTTTTTATATTCTGTCTCTGATATGCAAGTTTGTTTAGTTGTGGGGCAGTTCACTACCCCGTTTCCCCCGTTTATGTACTAAAATGTTCTACATCTGGTGACTCCTCAGCAGATCGTCTATACCTCTTTGAATCATCAGGTGATCGAAGATGAAGGTGCTGTTTAACCGAAGCTAAGGAGAGCCAGTGCTTTTTGTTCCCTTGAGGATTTGTAGGAAGAAAAAGACTTTGGAACAGAATAACATGACGTTTCAAGATATTGTTGAAATTAATTTGCTTTGACTTTGAACAGTCAGATAATCATAGCTTCACAAGGTGTCACAGGACAAAACAAGGCAACTCCTTGAGAAGAAACTCGAATAGCTTGTCAACATTTCCTTTGTTCAGATACAAATATGAGAAAATGCAAATTAAGATCAGGTCAAACTTTAACTGTTAGGGTGCAGGGATGATAAAATATATAACTGAACAGCTCTGTGTAGCTGCAAGGAGAGAGAGCAGGAGTGAAATGCAGACACAATCAGTTGGTACATAAATACCAGTGATACACATTTTCCCAGCAGCACAGTGAAAGCAACAGAAACTAAACTAGGGGGAGAGGAGGGGTGAGGAGAAGAGTCCATCAGGTCTGTGAGCCCTGAACTATTCCATTTATATCCTATATCTACTTTAATATAAATAGATTCAATAGATATTAGAAGAAATATTCACGTCTGATTTACTGAGCGCCAGTAATGGCTTTCATAGCACTGCCATACAAGGTCTCTTAACCCCCCTCCCCCTATCTCTCTCTTCTTTCCCCTCTTTGCCACCCACCTCTCCTCTCTTCCCCATTTTTCACCCCAACCGGACAAGGCAGATGGCCGCCCTTGACCTTAATAGGTTATGATTTTGCCCTTAAAGTGAATTGAATACCTTAATTAGAATTCATTCTTCTTTTGCCATGGATTTCTTTTAAGCACTTTGTAACCTTGTTAAGAAAGTGCTATACAAATAAAGCTATCATTATTATTACTATTATTATATTATTCAATGACACAACTAGCAGTTTAGAATAAGAAAAAAACACAAATCTCATCTATGGGGAAAACAGGGACAGTATAAAAGACAGACATATCGGAATGTAAAGTTTATTTCAGTTTTGAACAAGGGGCTTTAAAAATGGAAAATCGGAGAAATACTAACTTGCAAATGGGACCTTGTTGGTTGTAAAACTAAATGGGTCCAATTCTTATTTAGCAGTGTTTTCTGCCATGGCTTTCCCTTAGGTCTAAGAAACCTTTTGGGTCCTAAGTAAATTATAAAAGATCTGAATTAAAAAGACATTACCATAAATCCCCCTCAAAGCTTGTAATTCACTATAAATTTGAAATAAAAACTGTGCCAAGCTATTCTTTCTTTGTCTTGAGACCATTCTCACTTCTTC